AGTTAAGAAGCGGCCCCGGGGAGCGGCTGGTGAGGTCCCTCCAGCTCTCTCCTTCCCTTCCAGCTCCTTCGGATGTTCTTCCGACAGCAGGACGAGATCCGCCGGCTGAAAGACGAGCTCGCGCAGAAAGACATCCGGATCCGACAGCTCCAGCTGGAGTTAAAAAACTTACGTAACAGCCCGAAGAATAATTAACTTCCAGGGACGTTTTATAAATAAACTTTCTTTGTTTATACTCGCTCTTTAATTTTATTGTATCCACTTACACAGAACATGAGCCAGAAGTCAAGTGACCTGCCAAGAGCCCACTCGCTAACTGGAAATACGTCCTCCCAGTCTTGTCTAGCACTAAAACCCGCCGTCACCGACAGCTCCTGCATGAGAGGCGGCCAGGGCGGTCCTGGAGGAAGTAGAACCCACTCCCCCCCCTCGGGGTTTCGGAGGCGGCGGCGACTCCTCGGGAAAGCGCGATGCTTCGTTGCTGTTCGTTTTGATTTTTGATTTTTCCTATGCAAAAAAAAAAAAAAAAGGCTACAGTGGGTGCGGAACTGGAACGGGGTGCGGGAAGGGTTGGGATTTCCAGCAGGATGCTGCCGCGGCGGCAGCCTGGGACCCTTCCCGTGACGGCGGTGCTGCTGGGGGCCGTGGCTGTGGCACTGCTGGGTGGGCTCTGGCATGGCCAGGCTTTGGCAGGAGCAGCGTGTGGTGGCCCCGGGCTCCAGCCTGGGGAAGGGAGCTGCTCCGCGTGCATCCGTGCACATCCATCCTTTTCTGTAAATGAAACGGAGCGGCCGGCTTTCCGGACCAGAGAGGGAGTTTTGCTCCCTCCACCTCTTCGAAAGAGGGACCTACTCTCCTCCTGTCCGCTGGGACACGTGCCATGGGGAGGGGGGACGGGTGTCACCCACCTCATCCTGAGGGTCCCCGGGCGGGCGCCACGGCGCTGCCCCGAGGGATGGACCCGGCGGGTGCTCCGTGGGTTCAGCACGTGTGTACAATCACCCCTTTTTTTTTGTGGATTAGGCCTGTAGCACAGGGAACAACACCAAATATCGTTAGTTTACCTTGATAGATATATATATTTTCATGAAGTCAAGTTGCTGAACTGCCGGGCACTGCCAGGGCAGCGGTTCCTCCCCTCCGTTGATTCACGTTGTGCCCCGTGCCCGCTGCTTCCCCCTCTTTCCGTGACATGTGCTGTCATTGCCTATTATTTATGCTGCCACCCGATAGTGATGAAATAAAATGTTTTCAAGATACCAAACCCTTCCCCTCGCGTCCGTTCTTTGCCGAGAGGCCGTGCGTGGGGGCGGGTGCCCACCCGAGAAAGGGTTGTGGGACCCCAAGGGGTGTTTTTTGGGTGTGCACAAAGGGGTCCTCTGCTTGTGCCACTGCTCTTCCCCCGGGCGGGGAGGACCCTGCGGGCTCAAGGGCTGGTGGCCCGAGGCTCAGCTTGATGCCGTGGGATGGCTGCACGGGGCTCGGGCGTGTGGCACGAGGAGCAGAAGCCCTGATTGTGCAGGGAAGGAGGTGCTGGGAGCTGCCCCGGCTGGTCTGGGCTCCTCTGCAAGGTGAGCGGTGTCAGGGGGAGACGTTCCTTGGGG